TTACAATTTCTCCTGCTCCTCCGTCCTACAAGGAGGGATGTTCCCAGTCTGTCATGTTACCTTTACCCTCTGAGGCTTCTGGAAAAATGCATTAAGAGGGAAAAACTACAGCCAGCATAGAGCAAGACAGAATAAGACTTGTAACAGGTAATTCAGAAAAATGCCATTTTTTAAATTGCCATTTAATTAGAAAATAATATTGAGGGAGAGAGAGAAGTTAGCTTGTTCACAAAACAAAACAAAAACCACAAAAAGTTAAATCTAGCCCAGCTTTGCACATTTTAACAATTCACTCTCCTCTGTAGAACACAGCAATATAAATATTACCATCTCTGCTAGAACGAATTATTGACGATTTTAATACATGTTGCACAGTACATATTAATATAGAAAAATACATGTTATCAGCAGTGTAATGTTGACCATGTACTAATCCATTCCACCTGCTCAAATATTAGTGCAAATAATTATATATTTGTAATGCATCATTGCTGTCTAGTTTGAATCTATGCTTCCAGAATAAATGTCTCTTCTCTGAAGTTGTTTGCTATTACGAGTAAAATGTTATATATTCATACTCAAATTGACTTTGGGTGGATAAGTAAAATGAGCAACCTTCAAAAATCCACTTGTCTGAGACTTAGCAAGTTATTTTAATGAATTGTTTACAGTAAAATGAATGTTATAAAAATGTTTCAAACAAAAGCTCATGTTAGTTGGCTTCTCTACAGCAGCCAAATACCACATGCCAATGCAGTTGGGGTGAACTGCATCCTTCTTTTCCAAAGGGAGTTACCTACCTTGATTTTGCCTAATATTGTGCAGTTTGTTTACTTGTGAACTGGTTCTGGAAAGACCTGGTCTCCGTAGTCTGGCCTCGCTTTTCAGGTGTCATTCACCTTTTCCAGAAGCTGAAACAACTCGCAGCACCAAAGGACTGTTTTTTCCAGACCTCAGGAAAAACACATTGTTTTTTGACAATATTGGTTCTTTTTTCAGCTGCACAATTGGGCAGGGAGATGACTGGGAACACGTGTGAAATTGCAGGGATAAGGAAATGCTGTCTAAGAATATAGGGATCATGAATGAACTCACCCACTGATAGCCAGCAAAGATGTCACCTTAACGAGACTGGACATTTGGTAGGACAACCATTTCTGTCCCCAAAGGACTGATGATCAAAATGGGCAGAGTAGACATGCAACCAAGCCAGGACAAAATAGACTTCAAGTATTTGTTAATACCAGGATTTTCCTTGGCTAGAAATGAAGTTGGGATAGGGTTGGGAAGAACAAGGGCAGACCTGTGACTTAGCCAGTTTTGCAGAATCAGTTCCACGGTCCCCTCCCTTCACAGAAGAGAAATAACAGTAAAGAGGAGCAGGATTTGGGATAGTTATCAGGAAGTCTATAGCTTATTTGCATCCTAAATGTACTGATACGGAACAAGAGATCTCCAGTAGTGCCTCACACAACTGAAAAAAAGACAAGCAAACACAGCTCTTTCTCCACTCAAAGATAAGCAGAAGACATAGTATTAAAAACGCTGCTTTTCCTTCCTACAAAAATAAAAGGGAAGAAAAAGATAAGCAAAGCTGTGAAAACAAGGGAGGAGATAGAGCTCCCTCCTATCGTTAAAACAAATGTAGAAACAACCAACAAAACAAAAGGAAAACAGAATATGCCAACCTGCCAACTTCCCTCCTGTGATGTCTAGAGAACAACACAGATAGCAAAGCACAAGTCTGTCCCTACTTACAGAGAGGTGAGGCTGCGTATCAGAGCTTGGGGATGGGGGGAAGTTGCCTTGAGGCCAATATCCAGCAGGAAAAGAGGACAGCAGAAACCTCTGCCTTCCTACTGCTCCTGAGACAGGCAGTGCAAGAGCAATTATTCAGTATCTGTAACCTTCCTATAGGAAGACTCTCACCTCAGCCTTGACTGCTCTCCTTGTTCTTGACTGTTCAACTTCAAACCCAATCCAAGTAAAGATACTTATTGCCATGAAAAAAAGCAAAGAACTCCTCTCTTTCAAAACTTTCAAAACATCTAAAACATCTAAAAGAGTGTACCATCGGTTTGACTTGAGAGATCTAGAAGTAGATTTATGAAGAACAGGCCAATGGTTATTACACAGGGTTCCAAGTGAACTAAAAAACCTCTCCACCCTCAGGGCACTTTGAAAGAAGCATCTATTTGCCACATTTCCTACAGAATTGGAGGGATCCGTCCACACAAAACTCGCACAGCGCCCCAGCACCAACTACGAGTACAGGATTGCTCCTTCAGGCAGCTGAAATTCCAGTTAAACACTGCAGCAAACAGTGATTTAAACAATTCAGCGGAAGCTGAGAGAAAGGGAAGACAACCCAATTTCTCTTACAGATCACAAGATAAACTGACAAATCTCAAGTTAAGCAATCACTTACCATCAGCCAGATCTTTGTAGTCTTGAGAATAAAATAAGCTCAGCTCTGGCAAATTCTTATTGCTTCTGATGAGACTACATATTGCTGCTGCATTTTCACTCCTCCCAGTAGGAATAAGCAGAGCTCACGTTCCCGGCGGGGCTACCTGTACTTCAGAGCAGACTCACACATCGCTATGGAAAGCCTCTTCCTGATGAATCCAGGGGTTTAAAGATGAACAGACAGCTCCAAGACAGGTTATTTAAGCCAGTCTCCCTTCTCCAAAGCTCGCTTCGTTTAAGGATGGAAATATAGCTGCAAAGAGATATTAATTCAAACCTTGCTTATTTGCCTCTGCCACGTGTATTGCAGGTTTCTGCTAATCATATTTTAAACTTCTCCTACTGTGTGCTAAGCTACTTCATTTAAACCTCTTGTTCTTTGGATGATTTTAAGCTCAAGTCTTCCTCACTTTTTACCTGCTAATTCTAAATATCTAGATGTGCTCTTTTTCCAAGCACTTCAATTTCCAAAATTTTATGTTTTATTTGTGCTGAGAAATGATCCTTACAGAATACCAGCTCCTTCCTGCTCTCTCTGCCAACACAAACAAAATACAACACAAAATCACATAAATAAGACTTGTGAAAATATAGCTTTTTTTCCAGCCTCCAACATTTTCTGGCAAAGCCATTTTCACCAATTGTAGACAGCATAATTACACACACGGGCACACACCTCCCCTAAAGCACTCCTTTGGCTGCCAACCTGTTAAATGCCAATGTTCAAGAAGTGAATATTAGAAAGGTTATACTTTAAATCATTACATGAACATTAAAAACCATATTTGTATTTTGGATAGCACTTTATTGTATTCAGAAGCTACTGGAAATATTTTCCTAAATTATATGCTATAATAGCTGTATGCTTAATGTGTAACGATTACAGTCCCATCCCAATCCAAACTGTAAAGTGAATTTACCAACCTGTTTTTTTTCTGGAAATAGAAACACTTGCAGTGAATGCATAGGCGCATTTTTCAATGTGAAAGCAGAAGGGAAAGCTCACACCAATGATAAATTTGGTCAGTAAAATTCCTTTTATTGTTTGTTTTTTAATAGAAGGGTTTATACATTTGAATATAAAGGTATTTGAAGAATGAGGAAATGAAAAGAAAAAAGTATCTGGAGGGATTTTTGTTTAACTGAGGAAGAGTTTACGTTTCTAAGAATTCACCTACTTTTTGCTGTCTCTTTTTTAAATAGGCATAATGAAAAATATTGCACTGAGCATATGCATGGGAAACACAGCTAATAAAGCAAAAATTATTGTAAGTACATTTCATACAACCTTAAAATAATTCAAAACAACAACAAATTCTGAAGCACTTCTGTGATCTGCAGTCTTAAGATGATGTTCACTGTTCTAAAGTGTTTACAAATTGACACTTTTTTGTATAAAGAATTTATATTAGTTAGTAAACTACAGCCTCAAAATTGTTGGCTTTCAGTTACAGAGGTAACAAAGAGGTATCATCTGAATTCACATCAGAGCTTTTGGAGAAAAAATTAATGGCAGCAGTACAAGCATGTGCCTCCTCCAGTGTCCAAAACTCTTTGTGGCTTTGCCATGGCCGAGGAATAGAGCTACGCAGCTGAACAAAGCACCCCGTCTCCCAGAAATACTTTGAGAAAATCTGGCATCCATTCTCCTGTTTACCAAAATAATGCTCCACTAAATACAAAAAAAAGAAGTGGAAAAACTTCAACCAAACAAGAGAAATTCCCAAGTCTGTCGATATTGACTACACCCGGTAAATCGTTAACGCAAGGAAAATAATTTTATTTTATCCATAAAGTAAATTCATAGAAATGCTGCTCTGACAGTGGGAGGGAAAATAAAATTCATAAAGTAACCTGGGCCCACAGTAGAAATAAAATGAAGTGTTGTAGATGATCTGCTTAGGGATGGCAGGTCCAACCTGTTTTCCACAAAAGCACACTTCCAAACAGAGGCCCATTTGCTGTAAAATCTTCAATTGCTTGTGGAAAAGCTAAATGTTTCAAGCATCACTGTTGCTTTGTTTTTTTTATATGCACACTTAGAAGCACCCAGAATAAATGCTGAAGCCCAGTGAACACAAAAGCTGCCTGTCTCCAGTGGTAAAATAGAAGCAATGGAAGAGAAGCTCCTGCACATGACATTTTATAGTGCTCAGGCACTGAGAATTCAGTCTTCAGCACAGGAAGCTTCAACTCCCCAGTTTTCCCAGAGCCACTCTCCATTCCTCCCCCATACAAATGTACACTCGGGCCACATTTTATCCTTTCTCTTGGTTATTATCTGAATTTATTTACATATAAAACAAGAGACAGGAGAAGAAGTTCTCTTATGTTAACCCAACGATGGGCACCTCCACCTTGCGATGTGAACACCTAACACGAGGCGGCTGCAATCAGTGCAGGAGCATATCTAAGGTTCAGTGTATGCCAGGATCAAACAGAATAAACAGGAATCAACCACAGAGTCAGATCATACAACACTAGTTTTTCCAGTGGGCCATCACTATTAGGTTAAAAAAAAAAAACAAAAAAAAACCCTAAAGAACCAAAAAAATATATTTGTTTTTACCACTTTAGTTCTGTTTAGAATGCTTCACAATGAATAAATTACATCCTTCTGGGATAGCGTTTCTGTTACTCCTACATCTCAAAGAAATTCCAAGCTAATTAATTAGAGCAAGAAATTACATTGAGCGGGATAAGGTTTTAAAAGAAAGAAATGACTTAGAAACACCAATCAAAGATAATTTGATTATGATTAGCTGTGCTGAAGTCTAAGTCATTAAAATTGATGAAGAATGTTTCTACACTGGTCTATGCTATGTAATCCATTACCTACGCTATGCTCTGTACTTCAAGTCTAACAAATGGTATCTGATAATTCAATATCGAAGACTAAAATATTTCCAGTGCACCACTTGCTTTCCTACACCAAGATGTCTCCAACACAAAATTAGCAGCAAGTAGTTTTGCAGAAATCCATCACCGGGAGAACTTTAGCTTGCACGAAACATCATTCCAATTTTCATCTGCTCATGTTCTAGAGAGAGTCGTGTTTAAATATGGCTGCTGTTTTATTCTCAACCATCAATATCCCACCAAAGTTACGACCACGGCTGGGTAAGAAACCCTTCCCTGTGCTTTCTGACAACTGTGGCCTCCCCAGGGTGTCGCGATCCCTTCCGTGCTCTCAGCTGAAGTGGCGAGCAAGGCGAGCAGACCTATAGTCAGCGCGCAGCTGCACGAAGGAGTGAAGGATGTTCTTGTCCAGATTAGCAAGCTGCTCTCCGGAGCAAACTTGCTTTAAGTTATCCGGGGCCACAACCAGAAGATTGCAAAGTGCGTGCAAGGTATCAAAGAGCTGCAACACCAGTGGAATCTGCAGGTAGAGAAGAGAGACAGGTATGAAGAGTGAAACTCGTCTTAGGACACAAGCTCCACAAATTCCATCTAGATTCTCCAACTCCTTTTTCCCCTAGAGGATCCTCTTTAGTCATTCTCTCTCTTCATATGTGTTCCTACATATATATATATATATATGTGTGTGTGTGTGTGTGTGTGTGTGTGTGTGTGTGTGTGTGTTTGTGTATACATATACATATATATAAACACAGGACAGACTTTTTCATTATTTCCACGTCAGACTAGTGGTATTTACTATGAATGTCATGCTTCTTTAGCCCCGAATTGCAATTTATTTTTTTATTTAAAAAAATAAAGGAAATATAATGTTTTTGGAACATTTGCAGTCTCTAACCACACAAAGCTATATTACAGGCAACAATCTTGAGATAATTTTTATGCTCCAGAATGCAGCAAACTCATTGTAAACCTATAGTCTTATTAAGGGCAATTATCTGTAACATTTGAAGAAGGTTTTTGTGAAAGCAAAACATGGTTTCCAGTAAGTACACCTTGGATAACCAGCAATTTCACTATACTTAATATGAGATATGTATGCAACTCTATATTAAAATGTGAATAGACCTGCTTTGAAATATGCAAAATAAAGGCTAGAAATAAGTTCCTGATTTCTTAATGGAAGGAAAACACTTTCACAAAGCCACAAGACAGCATTGATAAAACTCAATAAAGGACTAAAAGAGTCAAAACAAACAAACAAACAAAAACCTACTTTAAATTTCAAGAGATCTCACCTCTAATTAAAAATGATTAGAAAAGACTTAGAGAGATTAGGTTATATCACATATCCCAAATTTGGGGTTCTTGAAGCTTTTGGCAATAGTAGGAAAAAAGCACTAATAGCACAGGCACCATAAATCTTGTTCATAATGACAATCCCTAGATTTTGTTTCAATTCAGAAATCATACATAGAACAAAATCATGGAAATACTCAAAACTCTCTTACAGCCCATAAACAACAAAGTGATATAAGGAGACAAGTCTTTAGTACACGATTAAAAACTGCTGGTATGACAACAGAGTATATAACATCAGCATGTGAAGTGACGATGTTCAAATAGAAACAGAAGACTTTATGAGAAGATAACTTTTGAATAAAAATACTCCCTTCTACTACACATTTTCCACAGGAATGTACATCAGTGACTCACACATGCTTACCTTGAAGTCTTTGGCACACTTCCTATACTCAGCCACATCACAAATAGCTAACATTCCTCCCATGCAACTGTAGGAATATTGCTGTAGATGTTCATAGATCAGTCGATGAAAACGAACTCCAAGCTCCATCAGAACTGTGTCCACGTTCTTACCATCCATAGAATGCCTAATCTTTTCCACCTGCTTTCTAACATAGCCACAGACTTTAACACAGGCCTAAAAAAAATAAGTTTTATGAAAGGGTAAAAAAATAGATATTAGTTCTTTTCATAAAGTGGTTTCTACAGCATAAGCTTAGCATTAGAAGCTATGTCATTCAACTCTCAGAAGCACCACATCATTGAAATTAATAATTTACAATTAGTTTTCCAACAGTACTTTTCCATTGTCACATAAAGACATTAATACTCAAGTAGACAGATGCAAGACAATGTTCTATTAAACTACAGCTCGTATCAGTTCAGAATAGGGCAATTTAATTTGGGCCCCTTGGAAAGGGAAAGAATTTGACAGGTTGTTAGTAAAACAGAATATAGGCAAAAAAATGAAGCCAGGCATTAATCAAATGTACATGCTGTTAAATGCATATGATTAATCAAAGCACCTTCTATCGGATACTACTATAGTGATGAGTCTGGGCTTAGTTTACTTACATTAGTATATTGAATCAAAACATTGTTTTCATCTTCTGGTTTAAAATCTGTCTTCTTTTGCTCTGCAGTCAAGATGTGTTTCATCTGTCCAATCATACAGTTCAGTGTCCTTTAAAGTCACAAAAGAAAAGACCATGTTTTGAGGGGAGTACTTTCATTTCCTTGATTTTTATATTACAGCTATTAAAGCAATTCTCTACAAAAGTAGATAACATGAAGCATCAAGGAAAAAAAACTTACCACCCAGCATTTGTGTAACCTACAGAGCATACACTAAGCTTGAATGGCTACCAAAAGAAATTGGGGCTGCTACGACATGTCAAAGGAAATACCTCATTTTATAGATATGCACACAAAAATACACACTATTCCAAAAATTACTATGCAGTTCCCTAGAAAAGAGAAGTTTGATTTTCTGTAAGTAGCTAGGAAAGGGAGAATTAGCAAAACAAAACAAAGCAAACAAACAAAAATCTCCTAAAAACTCTCTGCCCCAAGGTCACTGCCTTGGAGCACAGCACACAGCATGCTGGCCAGAGGCTTTTAAGGGGGACACATTAATTGGAAAGTAATCCATTTAAATGCAACTCTTCACAGAAACTGGATAGCATTCTTCATTGCTGAGGGCATCTGACAGCAGAAGGAAGCATTCCAGAGACTTGGGTTAGGAGAATTAGATTGCTTTGTGTATTAGTCAGAAGAAAGCATCAGAAAACACTTGCAAAATTAAGGTCCTTTGCCAGGGGTTGGTATTTGTCTTTTTTTTTTTCAGAAATCTAATAGAGTTTTACAGTGTTGTTTCTTTCTCCTCCACAGGATTTTCGTTTTTAGAGCATTATCTAAGGTCAAGGCACTGATTTACTTTAAGTTCAACCCAAAGGTCAAACAGCAAAGCAATTGAAACAGGGACAACTCATTTTCCCCCCATCCTTTGCTGGGAGCTCCCCCATTTTTCCCTTCTTCAAATAAAGCACTTTATGAAAACCTCCTCTAAGGATGGAAATTAGTGATAACAATATTATGAGTTTTGCAGAATTCAAGCTCTGCAGGACAGGGAGTTCTGTTTAGCTAAACAGGTCCAGCTTAAAGCAGGAGCAGCTAGAATCTCAAATGTTACTTGTACATCTTGCATCTTTTTGCAGAAAATTCTTTTAAGAACCAAATCCTTCAGGCCTCCACAAATCAACTGCATCAAATCCACATCTCTGCAGAAATTATGCAGCAGGACACAAATGCAGAGACTCCTTTCCCTATACAGGGCTGTTCCCATCCCTCTCCGGGTTAGGCTGATCTGTATAAGAACTGTGTCTATAATTTCCAAAGTAATCCTCAGGTCTCAGAGGAAGGTTTATTTCTCCTACCATGGCAAGAAAAGAGAGCCACAGAGTTTGAATTAACTTGTTCTAGACTGAGTAACATCATTTGGAAATTCAGGAGTGCTATATCCTTCTCGGGGCAAAGCAGGGCAGTTGCAGTACAGTTCCGTTTACTGATATTAAACTGGTTTGTTATTTGGGCTAACGGACACAGACTAAATGAGTCACTCACAACTTCATCAATCAAGTCAATGTCAGAATGAAAATTATTCAATGTGAATTACAACATGCTCTCAACAGAATCAAAAATCTTTAATAAAGTCCTTCCAAAACTACCTGTATCAGGTCAGAAATCCGCCATGAAAAAATGAGCCTCCAAACAAACAAAAATCTGTGTTTCCTTGACAGGATATGTGTGCTTATGGCTTTATAAGAAAAAGAAAATAAATAAATTTTGTGTTCAGAAAAACTTTGCCCTTAAATGGAAAGTTAATATACATCACAAAGAGTTTCTATGAGAATCAGTGATTAACAGAAAGTTCAAATCTTTACTTGCCTATCGATGCCCATATCCAGCTTCACTTCCATTTGTTCTATGATATCCTTTTTCTTCTGAAGACATTCAGATAACTTAGGAGACGAACTACAACAGCATAAAGGGTTGGGAGGTAAGAGGGTTAAATATGAGCACAAATTTATCTGCTGGAGCTCTTCCAACATGCATTTGCAAAGATTTCCCACCCAGCTGTTCTCAGAAAGGCCTAGTCTGGAGGAAGCTATCTGGCTTTACAATGACAAATCAACAGCCTCAACAGGCAGCCGCGCTGAAAGGGACTTGCCGCTGCAGCAGCGCTGTCCCGCGGAGCAGGACGCCCCTCTCCTGTGCTCTGCCTCCTGCTGCTCCTGAACAACACGCGGATTTCCCGGAGTGTGGACGGCGCCCGCGGCGCAGCTGGATGGTTCAGCCATCCCGGCAGCCCCCGTGCCCCTTGCTGACCCCAACAGTCCTCACGAGTCCAGTCGTGCAAAGCAGTAGGGAGATGTCTGGGGAGGAACCGTTTCTCCCCTCTATCAACGCCCTTGAGGCTCCTTCTCACTCTGCAGTGCTACAATGTACAGATCCCTGCAACTTTCACAGAATCATAGAATGCTCCACAGATCCCTGCAACTTTCCTTCCTCCTTCCCATGCATTACAGCATTTTATCTTCCCACAAAGGCAACCTGAACCACTCCAAGAATAAACTCCTCTTGAGAGTGACAAGAAAAAAAGAAAAGGCTGCTTTGTTCACCAAAAGTGACCGTTCACTAAAGGAATGCAATCAGAATTAAGGTACCTGATCAATGGCATCAGATGATCATTGAATTGCTTGTCAAATAAATGGAAAATAGTATTGGCTTGGTGGACAACATCCAGAAAGTACAGATTTGCACTCCTTGAATCAGAAGAAGGAATGCCTAAAGCAAAGGAGGTTTCGTTAGTATCACAGTGATATGCAGTTCTTCCAACTGGCATGATGACTCTTAAAATACACATTTTTTTCCCATGAATGCCTAAATCACAGGCTTAGTTTGAAAAAGTTTACCACAATGTTCAATATATAGAACACTTGTCAGTGATATACCAAGTAACATCAACATGCCTCCCTGGAGTTAATAGGAATTCTGTAATCAGTACAAAAGGCAACAAGCTGCAATAAAACTACCAGATATACAATCATGAGCATAAGCACCTTGCTGTTAAAAATTCCTAAAAGCAAAACAGAACAACCAACTTCAACGTTTCTTCAGAGCATGAGTTTCACACTTTGATTCAGGGAAGGCTCTCATTGTCAAGATATATATACATGGATATATGTAGATATTTTAATAATTTAACAATTATAGATTAATTAAATAATCTAATTACAGATAACTTAATCAGAACATTAAGCAATGTTCTTTTTTGCTGCCATGAGCCTTTAAAATGCATAGCTAAACAAACATACATGAAATCCTTATAAAACATAAAACACTAAGTCTTAATATTTTTTTTCCCCTGCTATGGCAAAGGCAAGAATTAAAAGAGTTAGGGAGTGCTGATATCCTGTTTTCTGTGATATTAGTCTTTCTGAAGCCAGCGTTGTCTTCCTACCTAGGCACGAATTTCTCAAATGGAAGTTACACTTGGGAGAACACTAAATGGCCCAAATGCACAAAACTAGTTTTTAGCCAATAGGTATTGAACAAGGTCAATCAGTTAAGCACAACAAGGATCTTTACAGATGCTGAAAGGCCAGTGAGATGAAGTGCTCAGAAAACATTTTGATTAAGTACGACACATTCAAAGCCCGCCAAAAGCAAAAGTACACTCACCAGCAAGGCCTGTTTCTAATGCATAATCAATGTGTTCAGTACATAAGAACTCTACAAGCATAGAAAAAATTCTGAAAGCGTTCTTCGGTAAGTCAGATGGATCGGAGAGCTTTAAAGAAAAAGAAAAGTTTTGATCTTAAAGGTCAGTTTTACATACATTGGAAAGTTTATCTGATATTAGACACAGGATCAGCTTAAACTGTAACGAGTATTCCAGAATAATTAGAGTGTTATTCCAAATGAGAGATGTCCATATACAGAACTATTCAGGAACAGCCTTTCATATCAACAAATTCTTCAGCATCAAAAAAATAAAACTGAAACTATTTCTTTCTTAGTGATACCCAAACAGTACTGTGCCACAGGATGCTATGGAAGATAAAAGCATAAGGAAGTTTCAAACAAGAAAAAAACATAAGCAATTGGATAGATTAAGGAAGGGTCATTAAAATGCATTGATTCAGGTATAAACTCTGGCCCAGTAAGTATCAAAACTGCATCCTGCTGGATGCTGAGAAGAGGCTCATGGAAAAGATCATGCTATAAGTGCTCGGTGTTTTTGTCTTTTCCTAAGCTTCTGCCACTGGCCACAGAGACAGGATACTGGGGTAGACAGACTTCCAGTGTCACCCAATGTAGCTGATCGTCTACTGGTGTCACACTACTACATAAAAAATAAAATGTCCTCAACCTCACTTACCACTTGCACTAAAATAGCAGACAAAAAAAGCAAATAAACGTCAGTAAAACCAGCAGCTTTACCAGCAGGAATAAACATTTAAAGAACAGTAGAGGGTTACCAAAGTAATCAATGCAAGAGTAAAGATACACCTCTCGCCTTCTTACTGCTGATATTCTCCACTACAAGAGGATATGATACACTTGACCCAGGAGAACATCCGCTGGGAAATTCTTCTTTATATTTTTAAAGTAAGGTTTTTATTTTTACATTAATCTTTCCAGTACTTGTGTTAAGCAAAAAAACCAACAGATACACAAGTTCAACTCTCCCCACTTCCTCCAAATAATTTTAAAAAGTACACAGTATTAAAAACCACAAAGTAAAATTAGATCCATGTTTCAAAAGCAAATCCCTAGCCTTCACCATGACCCTTGTTCACTGAAAAAATATGAGACAATTCATTTGTCCAATAGGCTCAAGTTCTTTTTCTCCCCGCTACCTTCAGCTGAAAAATGACATGTTCAAGCTCAGGTTTAATTTGAGGCACAACGTTACACTACTAACACAGATCCCAGGAACCACACCTACCCTGTGACATCTTTCAAAGGCTTGCTTAGTTTCTTGCAAAAGATTAACCACCACCTCCTGCGAGAGAAAAGTTTCTCCGTGGGTGTCAATGCTTGGACCCAACGGTAAGTTAGTGCGCTGCCTTATCCTCTCTTTGAGGTCTTGAATACTAGAAAACAGATACACAAAAGGATAATTTCACTGGATGGAAATATTGATGTTCCAGTTCAAAAACACGTTTAAGACATTTTAGCTGTTAACTTACAATAAAACAGGACCCAAGACACAGTTTAGGATAGGCAAGCATTAAGGCAGTCTTACAAAGCTTAAAAAACATTGCTAGTAAATGCTAAACTATCACCTCTGACCACAGATTCAGACATGTTCTGCCACAGCACATTCATATCATGGGAACATCTATATCCCCCACTGTGGAATAAAAGTCATTTCACTTGAATCCCATGGGACTTTTGCTCCATACCTTCTGCCACATTCTACTTACTAGGTGTTCTTGCAAGTTTTCCACCTCATCCATACCCAGAAATCCTCTCATTCACATCCACTGTCTAGGCAGTCCTTTTTCAGTCAAGCATGCTCAAACACGTTCGCATGCATAAAGCAACCCATAAAGTCAGTCACTACAACCAATTTAATCTTCCCCGAGAAAATTAACTTTCACATCTTTGTTTTTAATTCTTTTAATTACTTCGGTGTTGCTGTCTTTCTATTCAAATCACTTTTCATTCTTGACATATTAAACTTAGCAGCTCTTTGAGAGATGCAGTAATCTTGTCACCTCTGCTTCATACAAGTTTTAATTCTTCCTTTCCCACCTTTCACCACTCCTTTATTAGAGTTTCTCTACACTGAGAATAACGAAATCGTGTTTTACCCTTCTCTCTAAGACCATTGCATTTTTGGGCTTAATAAGAGCTTTTTCACTGATATTGCTATGGTCTTTTCCCCTTCCTAGGTCTTAGGCAGGGGCCACAAGGCCTGGGCAGGTGTAAAAAACTGTATGCTTTTAGATACAAACATATACATGCTTTAGGTACCTTAATTTTGCTTCAGTCCTTTTGTGGATCTGGATCCTAAGTTAAAACATAGGTTTAACTGGCATTTTTCATTTCCCGTGAGTGTATAAATACCATGCATCACCTTTCACATGTACTGAGAGCAACACATTTATACCAGAAGGTAATATAAATAATAAAGTGAGAACAAAACATAAAAGGCTTTAGGTCATTTTACAAGACGGCTTTTTTGCAATTGATCGCTACACAACTGACAAAGCAGTCATGTTATTTATCCCCTTACCACCTCCCTTCCCCTTTAAAAAGAAAAAAAGAAAAAAATCACAGAAGAAACTCACCCTCCAGTGCCAATGGACCTTTTCTGGTGGTTTTTGGAATCATAATAGCGTTGCAGAATCATAGCACTCCTGGTTTTCAAATAACCGATTTCCACCTCAATGTAATTCTCCAAGTAGGAAATGAAAATGGATTTGATAAGCTTAGACAAGAAAGTCTGCTTATCAGTACCCAAGTTAAATTCCATCAATTTGCTTGAAAGATTAGTTGTTCTTTATGCAAAAGAAACAAAAGGGAGAGAAGGAAAAGGTTGAATTTGTATGAATTGCAGCATTATATGTTTGTAAAGCACACAGCACAACAGAAGACTGATCACAGTTAGGACTCCTGGCAACTCTACATTTAAGTAAAGAACTTTGCATAATTCACATTTCATTACGTACAATACAATTACAATCACATATGTCACTAGGTGACATGTAGAGGAGTGGCTTTAGTACAGTTTTTGAAGAATAAAAGACAAATTACTTTTTCCTTCCATGATCACCAACCTAGATATTCTCAGTTGAAAATAACAATAGCTATTTTAAAATTTCTTTAGGAATGAAATCATTGTAAAGGCTTTTTTTTTTTTTTTTTTTTAAATGAGTAGTTTACATTTTTGGCCTTTCCTCCTCTACCGTGATAATAAATCAACCTATTACAGGAGGCTATCTACAAAAATAATTTCATCATGAGTGTGCAAATACCTTGTATATAGATCATAGAGGTTCTTAAGGTATTGTTCTGCATCTGACTTCCTGTGTTCTTCCAGCTGATCCTTTACGTAACTCTGAAAAATTCGGGTATAATATTTATCTGTTTGAAGAATAAGTGTCAACTAGAGTTCATTTCCCCTACATGTTAGATTACACAGAATTTATCACAAACTATGCAGCTTTGTAATGCCATACATACATTCTTAGTTTTTCAAACTCTAATTTACAGATCTAGCTTTACCTATACAGATTTAACACATATTTTATAAGGAATAATTTGAAAATGAAAAGGAGTAGCATGCGAGTTAAACGACACTATGTTTTGAAAATATGATTTACCTACAAACACAAAAACTAAATCAAAAGCATCGAAGGACTAAAGGCTTTTCTACAGTTCACACTATGCAAAGGAGATGTTATTTTTGCTTACTCAAGTGCTAACCTCAAACACAAAAAAACAATTCCAAGAATGAACAGATTAAAGATATTTATTAAATGTAAAATTCTTTTGCTGGCATGTTTTCGATAAGAAAGCTACAGAAGAAATCAAGTATGTCTATAGCATCTTAGGAATTAGTTAATAAAAAAAACAGTGATTTCCTTATAAGTTTACATAACCAAATTTTAGTTTTTATCTGCACCACAACATTCAGAGTACAAATATCTTCATTTGAAATAACCCTGATTATCTGTCTGAACTGTTATAAATCAAACAGGTAGGGTTTTAAGACTTTATGTAAGATTACAAATATTATACATTCTCAGAAACTGCTACTAGTAAAAATAACACTTATGAAAGAAAGTTTCCTCAACTAACTTTAGCATGCTAAAATTTACAATACCTGAAGTTTAACTTCAAAGATATTTTGAATGAGTTTGGCTAACACAGTCTCTGGATTGCTGAAGACTTCTCCAACTTGCTTGTTCACCCGCTGGCAGAGGATGGCTGCATCTTCAAAAACATCATTCCCCAAAAATGCACCCTAGAATTTTAGAGACACATTGCAAAATATATTTACAAAACACTAGGACTAAATAAGCACCCAAAGAAATACATGTAAAATAAAATGCATTACCTCTTGACACTGTTTTATGTACACATCAACGCAATGGGAGTAGCCCTATGGAAGGAGCAAAACAATTCAAAATTAAAATCCATTTTCTATGCTTCCATTACACAATGAAATAAAGGAAATAACTCCTATGATTTTTTTTTTCAAAAACAAATAGATTCATCAGATACGTGAGCTCTTTCAAACTCATTTTGTCACAAATCTAACATACTCTTAGGACTCTCTGTGGATATGCACTCCCTCCTCAGGCCCAAATTCAGCGCACACACACGAGACAAGATTATCTCAGAACTAGGTCTCTAATAACGCCGCCTCTGATCTCTCATAATCTGCCTCCTTTATCCCCCTAAATTTGATTTCAGATGGAACAACATAGTAATTTTAAAGGCATACAAGTTATCTGATATAGGAGTTGTGCCTCTGGAAATATTTCACTTAGAATGAGAATGTACTGTAGCTTTTGAAAATGCATTAAAACCTTTGGTTTTACCTTAAAATGAAGTAAAACTGCTGCTACTTCTCTCATTCTGGAGATTTCACCTCTCCGCTGAGCATTGGTAAACTCTTGAATTAGCTGACATTCCAAATCATGGTACTTACCTGCAGAGGAATGGGGAGAAGAACAAAAATCCATTAGGCTGTGCAATACAAGCACTGACAAAGATTGTAATACTGACAGTATTGCAGATTTCTCTAATCAGCTTTAAAAATTCAAATATAGTAATATGGATTGAACTGCATAGATAACTTACTTGCGATCTTTGATTTTACTTCAGAAAACCTGTTAACATCAAAAATATACCATGTTTAAATTCAAATCCACATCACAAGAAATGACAGAAACTCTAACATATTAATAACAGGGAGCCAATTATTTAAAAACAGAAATACATAACACAAAGATGATAGAAAAGTTGCGTGTCTTATATCCATAGCAAACCTACAGGCATCTAATTTACATGTAGCATTAAGTCAGCATAGTGAAATTATCCCATTAGAAGTCTGTTAAGCAGTTTAAGATGTGCATGTAAAGATGATCCTAAAACACGAGTATGTGAACACAAATTCAACAATAGAAGACAGAAATAAGCACACAATCCATGTCAAAAGATACTACATGAATCACTTAACACATCAAAAATAGACAGGAGAAGCATCAGAAAAAGTTACAGCTATGTAAAGGTTTTTGTTTCTTTTTTTAAACAAATAAACAAAAAGATGCTCAGATAGGATTTTAGGATTTTACCTGTCAAAAGGCAGTTCCTGTGCAATCAAATGCAGTTTCTGAATAATATCAGCTGCCTCTTTAATCTGTTAGGAGGGAAAAACATGACAGAATTACTAAAGATGGTCTGATGATGCCCTATTCCTTTCTTCCCTCTCCACTTCCATTTTCATACACGAGCTTCCTATGTCTACAGCTGGTTGACATACTCAGGGATCTGCACCTTCAGGTTCCTGATGGGGAATTCTTTAAATTTGAAGAAAGTAGAGAACAACCGTATGCAGAAAAGCTGGGCAATGTGGGACAAGGTGAGGCAAGGAGGGGGTGGACAAATCAATGCAGAGCAAACTGGGGTACTAAAACCCTCCCAAGGAGGCAGTAATGGAAGTTTTATATATATATAAATCATAACCTCTGAGGGTCAAAGCAAAGATTAAGACAAAAGCTAGTTTATCTTGCATCTACAAAATAAAAGTAGTTTCATGGACACAGAAAACTATCAGAGGTAAATCAGCCTGCAAATTTCTGCTCCATCCTGGAGAGCAAAAGCTTTTAGTGTTTCTCTTTCCACAATGAGTCAGCATGAGAAGTGCATCCAAGCAGCTTTTAGTAGCTGCTTTGCTAGGTTAATAAAACTACAGAAACACCATTGCCACTTTTGAAAATGCTGTGAATAGGGCTGGTTGGGACTGAAGTGGATTTGCCCATTGGATGCTGCCTGGTCCAAACTGGGCATGGTCTGTGATAGGGACTGCAGGACACTGAGGCAGCAGTGGAAACTATTCCGGTCTAGCTGCTGCAAAAGCCAAGTCTTTACGTCATGACTATGCATGAAGAAAATTGAAATTAATCTTATTTTCCTGTTAATCATGTTCCAAAGAACTGGAGTGGCAGGGAAGGGAGCAAGGAAACCCTATTCTGCCACCATTTATATGGCGCTTAGTTTAAAACTGTTCAAGACTAGCTTGAGGAACACAGGTAATAGTACGTGGCACAATCAGCCCAGTTTGGCTCTTCAGCAAAAACAGGAGCTCGAATACGAGAAGCTCATGGTTAGAACAGTCATTTTACAAGAGCCTCTGAGGCCAAAAGCAGCTCTGCCCCTCTAATTCAACAAAACAGCAATTATTTCTATTAGCTTGCAGCAACCTTAATATCTAAGGATCCTAATCAATACTGATGGCATTAGGACGGCCGATGTACTAGCAGTTATTCGACAGGGTTACAAAAGACCATTTTCTATCATTTTTTCACACAATAGATGTTAACTAACTTCTGAGATTTTACTGAATTCAGGGCCTTTCTTATACACGACAGAAGCCACGACAAATCAATTTTCCACGGTTTCTGCTTAAATCCGAACATATTTCATTTTTAATTGAATCAGGCTCCTGTAAACTATTAAATCTAAATAAATATGGATTCTGTAAAATATAATTTAAAGGCTATACCATATTTGGAAAAAAAAATCAGAAAAAGACATAGAGCAACGAAAGAAAAACTTCAACAGATAATATTATGAACAAGAAGTTAAAAGGCATAACAGAACAACACTGAGCATTCAACAGACACGGAGAAAAGGATTCAAGAATAATAGCAAACATGTTAAACATGAGCACAAGATAATATCGTCGCATGAAGTACAAGCAAACTGTTAGATCATTTTGAAAAGTGAATTGTTTTAACTGGTGTAATTTGTTCGCTCTTACACTCTTCCTACAGAGCAGTAGTTAAAGAGGACAAGGACTGTGATACATAACACAGGACACACAGAAAACAAATCATCAGATTATAGACGTTAGAAATTGCTCAGCAGAACAATTGCTCAAAACATAATGGGGAAGCAACAATACAAGTGCAGAAAAAAAGTTTTCTGAGGGATTGCACAGTTTAGAAGTCATAACAATGTCTAAAGCCACATCGGTTTGGAGGTCAGAAAATACTGATGTTTTGACACTTAAGGATATTTGTTACTAGCTCATAATAAAAAAGTATTTTTAGTACAGAGACGCATTAAAATCTCATAGCACATGTCTGGGCAGGTTTTTTTATAAACATTATTTCTCTTTAAGATGAGAAGCAAAAAGTTACTTAATGGAACTAATCTACCTTGATTGAGAGAGATCTGTACAGGACAACTCATATCCAGACAATCTTGTTTGTGTTCCCGCACATCTTCTCCACAGACTAACAGAAGATGCGTGGACTTTGCTATGCTTCTCATCCTCCAGATTTGTCAAATGTCTTATTATTTTTCAGGATATATAAGGATTAATTTGTTTGTTGCTTTCCAGGCTTAACCTATTAATCTACGAGAGTCTTTTGACATCCTCCACTAGAAATCATGAATCTTTAAGTTACTGGTACAGCAGAATTTTGAATAAGAGACCCTTCAACAGACTGCATATAATTCTCTTTAACTTATGCTACTCCATTTAGTAGTATGATGTAATAAAATACTTTTCACAGGAATAAAAAGCATTTTATTCTCTTAAGCATATGTTTCATTTTTACTAATTAAATAAATTAATAAAAGTCTTACACAGATCTGGAAAAAGACTGCCCATACAACATTTTTTTTCTGTTGAAACCTGTCCATATTCCTTGGGAGTCAGAAATGCTTTTCTGCGCTCTCTCTTTCACTAGGGCAAACTGTCAACCAGCAATTACCATATACCCACACACGATCATTCAAAAGTCACTGTGGAAATGACTGCTTGGGAGTACGAGTACATGAAGTGATTAGCTTTTCATTTCCCAGAGAGGCACCTTCAGCTAAGTAGGGAAGCGATGGCTATTAACCTATTCTTAGGTCCTTTTTGAGATATATTTCAAGTACAGACATATCTTTTGCTGAATTCGCAAGCTAAATTTTTGCTGCTCCCACATACTACAACTTTTTCTGACCGTGATCGAGTACACCACTGCACAGGATTTAAGCAGAGCAGGAAGAGTCTTTGGGACACACCTCAAAAACTTTACTTATTCATCTTATACACTGCATGGGGGAATCTTACATGCGCCCTCCTGCCTGCAGCTGGAGACTCTTTCTTCAGCTCCCCTCTGCACCATTCAGATTCTATGTGGTTTACGAATATACTCTTGAAGCTCAAGAAAAACAAAATGCTTAAAGGTTTCTTTGAAGTTTTCCGGCCTGGTTCCTCTAAATCAGAGGGTGGAGACGTAACCACAGGACTATACAAAGCCCACAGGCCTGCTGTGACAAAAAGGTATCCAAGGCCAGTGGACTGACCCAACACAGTGAAGTTTCACAAAGAAGTTGCATTCAGAAACATTCTGCATTACAGGGCGGATCTGAGGCAAGGGGTTCAAAGGGAAAAGACAGATATTGTATGCACTTTAAAGTTGCCCTCCCAGCATTGCTCAAATCTCTGATAATTTCATAAAATGAAGAAATGCCATGTTGCCACGTTAGGCACCGCTGAATACAAACGCTTTATCAGCAACGGGCAGCCCAGTGCTGTTCATTTACATTTCAGAACAATGCAACTTTAACAAGTCAGTCACTCGCTGGGTTTGAAGTCTGACCATGGCAAGTCATGGTAGCAGCTTGTAATTAGGGCAGTACAGCTTCTCGCTTTGAACTGCTTTCATCCCGCTGACAGCTCTCACCTTTTCAGAGTTTGTAAAAACATCAGACTTCAGCTCTCCATCCAGAAACTCATTAAAGTATTTCATCAGCTTCTGAGCCTCCACGGCCCGTTGCCGTGGCGTGTTTACCCCCTCCAGTTGGTCACCAAGGTGACAGACCTTCGTTGCTACATAGCTGATGTGCTCATCTAGTTCTTGAAAATGTTGGAAGGCAACCTGTGAGAACGGACACAAAACTGGTGATTTCCACTTACTCTAAGAAATGCCACGTCACTTCAATAAGCAGCACAGTGAACTCGGGCAGCAGCACCTTAAGTGCTGCATCTCGGACTACTCAGAAGGGCTAAATTAAGCACACACAAGTGCTTAAAGTTCAGTGTGTTCCTTTAATCTTGGGGAGACTCTCAGAAACACTGACAGTCATTAACGGAATCTGCAGATAAGCCCTGTTGTCAGGGGAAATTGGTTTTCATCAAACCTTTCTTATTTTATCTCAAACACTGTGTCACTGTATCAAGAAATGTTAACAGAGCACTCGAGGCTTTTGAAACTTTTACAGCTTAGCACTGACTATATGCTCTGGATTTTACCTGATTGCTTTTCTGCAGCTCTTGTACTTTCTTGGCAAATTCCTTTGCTTCCTTCTGGCATTGCTGTTCTAGCTTCTCCACCTTTCTCTGAATCCTTTCATCCATTACCTGTAATTCTTGGATATGATTCACAAATTCTTCCAGTAATCTGATTTAAAATAAAAGATAGTTAAGTAGGCTTTAGTTTAAAAGACATTGTCCTGTGACCAAAGCTTAAAAAAAAAAAATCACTCACCTACAAACGGCCAATATCATCACCCCTAACCTACCAATGGCATTTTCTTTTCAACTCTCTGTTCTAGCTGTGCAGGAGGCTCTCCAGGTCTACACAGGAGAAATGTGACCACATAAATGGCAGGTGGTGGGGAAAAAAATGCTAAACACCAGTTGGTCAAGAACCTGGCTCTACTGCTGGTTAAAACCAAAAAACAAACAGAAATCAAATACAGAGCACCGCAATCTTCCTATGAGAAATACTTATTTCCCTCTCACTTTGCTTTGCTTCTGTTTTTCTTTCAGACTCGCATTTTCCTCATTCCAAACACAGTATTTTCAAATGCATTGTTAAGTTCTGTATATTCTTCCTCTTTGCATACTCAGAACATCTTTCCTTCTTTCTCTCATTCCTCTTTTTGTCTCTTTTATCCCATTCCAGTCATCTTTCAGCTCACACGTTCCTAAAAAAGTCCCAGTCTCTGATGCATAGGATATGCAATTATTCCCAGATCCTCCACAACCACAGATCTAATGCTAACAGCTGAAAACATATTGGAGAACTCTGTCATCAAGGCTTAATGTCAAAGTAGAAGAGGGAAGGAAAACCCAGTCCACGCCAGGAGGGTATTTCAAGACCACTCAGGAGGCCACATTTTCACCTTACACTGAATTCAGAAGACATGCAAGGACCCTGAAGTGCCCCCAAACTGCAGAAATGCTGAAAGGCAGGAGGTGCATCCCATTCCCTACCAGCTCCCCACACTCAGGTTAGAGACTTTGAGCAACCACAAGGGAAGAGGAGAAGGTTTTTAATTTATCCTCACATGACTCCTTCCCAGGACAACTACAAAGAGAGTTCCTCTCTTTGCAAACACTTTGAGCTCTCTCCAAATCCAAATAAGACTAATAGTACATGTGAATCACTTCAGTTGCACGAGAAGGTCACTGAATTTTCAGTATTTACTGCTACTAAAAATGACTAGCTTTTACTCTGCTGGAGTAAATAAGCATATGAACCATGGCAGCATATGAACTATATTTCTGTTCACTATTTTAGTTTAAAAATCTCAGTGTTTCAAATGATATCTTTAAAGAGCTTCTATTCATTTCAATGAACTGTTCAGTTCAGTTTGCTTTTTTCAGGTGGCTACTTGTCTGTTTTCTGAGAATTGAAGGTAAGAATTCAATAACCTTTCTACAAAATAATAACAAAAGCACTATTTTCCAAAAACATAGTAGGAAAAAACATGTCCTTCACACTACATTTTTTTTTGTATTAATCTTGCACCCTCACACTAGGAAATTCCCCAGCGAAAAATATTTACGGCTGCAGGAGCTCCCACTTGTCCTGATAAACTTGAAAGTACACTGCAGAAGTTAACACAAGCATGCCAACAGAAACACAGCAGATAGTTTAAAACTAGCAGGTATCAGTACAGATCCCCGAGTGCACTAAATTATTCTCCAGGGACAATTATGGAGAAAGAGCTAGAGGAAGTAATTCTGCATAATTCCAGGCTTCTTCCTCCTTAGCTCCCATGCAACTCACAAGCTGTAAATACTTTTCTCTTGGGAATTTCTAGTATGGGGAGGGGGAGGGCAAGATTAATAGGAAGCTCTTTTAAGATGCAGACCCCATGATGAACAGTGAGGATTCAGCATCCTGTTACAAAGTCCATGGTGGCTGCTGTGCTTGCATGTCTCCAAGGGCTGGTCCTCCGACCACGCTAGTGAGGCTTTTCATAACTGTCCTTGAATGAAAACAGCTTTTCTACAAAGTATTTTAAACTTCTTGAGTGTTGTAGGTCAGGTTACTGCAAACAATCTCATTCTAGGGGTGAGGAGACACTAAGAAACAGCTATCTCACTTTGAATTCACCCAATACCATAAACTAAATTAATGTTCAGGTAGCTAAAACTTTTGTTGATCTATCTGGCTTATAGGCATCCCAGGGCCTATAAAAGTAGCAAAGTCAAGCTCATCTTCCAAGATACTCTCATTTGAGATGCCAAAACACCGATGTCCAACACATCTCTACACAGAATACAAACACTGAAACATCAAGCTTAAAAGTTGCACTATTTGAAAAATAGTAGCTCTTTTGAAAGCAAAACAGGATCCACGAGGTGGGAATACAGAGTGTAGATATTTAATTCTGCCATATAAAACCATGCATCTGAGCTGGCCGTGCACCACCCAGGGCTGCCCAGAACAGAGACAGCTGGTTTCTAGATTTAGGGTGAGGTTTCACAGAAAGGCCAGGCCAAATCAACAGCTCACCACAAACAAGAGGGGCAGGTTCCCCTCTGCTTCCTCCGTGCTCACTTCCCTACCCTGCCCTTGCTCCTTCCTCACCCACCTCCTCCCTCCCACCAGCTCACAGACACGCAGCCTCTTCTCTTTCCATCTGCTCTTAGGCCTCTCCAGTCACAAAAAAAATGCTAACCTTTATTTTTATCAAAGTCGTGTTTTGTCAGGTTAGTTTTCTGACATTTTAGTGAGTTAAATCAGGCTACCATGAGGTCAAAGGAGGGTCTAGACCTGGCTGGAGAAGAGCCACTGCAGCCAGGAGCAGGGAAAGGGGCCCAAGACAATCTCCATTCAGGAGCAGCAAACTACTAGTTCACTGCTATAGTACCCTACAGCACACAGGGTATGTGCTAGCCTGTAGCACACAAGTACATAAAACAATCTGAGCCAGCCCTGCCGTGTTACTGCCTTTCTTCCCCTCCCACCTGCTTCTCCATATCCTTTGATATGTGCCAACATGGGAAATAGGTCCTGCAGAAGTTCAGTTCAGGGAGCTGAACTAGCAAAAAATCTGATTAAATTCACCTAAACTTTCCTAGCAGCACAACCTCCCGTTAAGTTTTAACTTAAGAAGTTTAGGGATTTGGAAACCTCCATGTCTGATCACAACAAACAGTATTAATGCTCTTATTCAAAAGGTCTAAATCAGAGAGTGACTTTCCCTATTCTTGCTACTGAATAACTGTCTCTGAACAATTGGCTCATGGTCACAAATTCTAGCAATTCTCTCAGTTGAAAACCTGCTTGGACACACACCGAAACTGCACACAGGCTTTTTGTTGCACATATAATAAAACAGTACAATTAGAGATACATTCACTCAGACCATTATGCAATTTTATTTTACCTTTTTGGATCAAAAGCTTCTCCACCTCTGGAACCTCCTCCAGGTGTTCTCCATGCCAGGCGCTCAATGTATTCATCTGCCACAAAGGGCTCCTAGCCACAGAATAAAAACTCTTTACAATATGCCACAGCAGGTAGTTTCTTAAGCAGCTGCTTACACACCATTCGGAAAGCATTTAGAAGCTTTACTGCAATCAAGAACAAGTACAGTGCTGACAATTACCCCATCACCTCTTACGTTTAATGCTCTGCATTAAATACATATGTATCTAGCATAGGGGTTGCCCAAGTGCCACCAAAAAGTTTTTGTGGGTCTGTCAGGAGTCAGCTCTAAGCTACCTGTCCTCATTTTCAGGTGAGCTTACCACTAGTCATTGCAAAGTGGCCAAGAGATCTGGCGAAAAAATCACGTGCCAAAAGCAGCTTTCTCAGCAGTTGCTCCGCTCTCGGATTCAGCCCGGCAAGCTGCACTGACCAGGGCACTGCCCCGCGGCGAGAGCTACGCCAGGATTGCCCCCGGGCACCATCTAACATCAAGATGCAACTGCAGGAACGGAGCTGATTAAAAAAGGGGGAAAAAATAAAGGAAAGCGAACCAAACAATGCATTGCACTTTCCCAAGAAGGAAAAGCAGCACATTAACAATGCTAAAAAACAGGAGGTTACACAAATTTATTCTATAATATCTGCTGAATCTTCCAGAAGAACACTCCACTTGACAATGTTATCTGAGAGCAGAGACCTTACTATAAAATCCAAGAGCTCTTACTTCAGTTGACCTAATACTTAAATCAGCTCAAAACACTTTTTTTTTCACATAATCAATATAAAACTCAAAATTGAAATAAAGTCCAATAACACCCATCTTTAAAGAATGCATCCATCACTTCTACTTACCTGATAATCTAACAGCATTGCTACATGCTAACACCCCTGCCATACCCATGGTTGCTAAACTAAACATTCCCACAATTCAGAAAGTTTTCAAATTACAAGCAGCAAGAGCTCTAAAACATTGATACACAAACTGCAAGATGCAGCCCCACACAGGGCCAGGACCAGCTATGGTTAATAGAGGTTCTTGCCACCATTCTCATTTCTCATAATGAAACCAGCCACCACTGCGATCCATAATGCTTGGGTTAAAAAAAAAAAAAAAATCACCACCACAACAAGGAAGAAAATTCACAGGCATCAAACTGGCTCTAGTACTGGTAGGCGTAAAATCTCAACAGAAGTAATAGGAAGGGAAATAAAAATTTATTCTTAAAATCCTTTCTTCTCCAAGTTGCTCATGCCTTCATACCAGTTCTTCCCGAACCACAACCTGAATTTCCTGCAAGTGAATCCTTTTCCTTCTAAGTTATAATGCAGTATTTTCATACTACACATAAATTCTCTCCTTTTGTCATCTTCACATGTAAAAGTTGGAAAACATTTTTGCAAATTAAAATTAAACAAACCACTCAGTGCAGTAACATTCCCTTCAGAAGAACCCTCCAACTTCCTAATTACTTCCTCTTTTCTGCACTTTTCTTTTATATGAAAATCATTACCACAGTCTTTTCTGAAGACCCTGTAATCCAGATGGAGAACCAGTCTGGGAGCAAGGATACCATGCCAAATACAACCCTACAGAAGAACCATATGCAAAGTGTGAGTGTTCACTGATGCTATATTTCATTTCCTAGGTTTCTCCCTTCCTTCAGATGCACACATGAAAGATAATTCCTCACACACGTATATGACCTTGGGGTATTTTTGGTGGTGTTTTTTTTTTTCCCCCCTTCAGCAAATGCAACATTTACAGAGTCATTCTGCAAGCCAGAGGATCAAAGCATGATCTATGGAAATCTGATAAACATGCTTTAACCCCTCGGAGAGAAACTACGCCAACCTCCCTCTATACAGAGCATATATGGAGCATATACAGAGTGTATTGGGAGCATAAACGGAGTGTGTGGAGCTCCTAGCCCTACACCCTGTTAAC